AGAAAAAAAATAAAAGGTGGTGAGAAATCACCAACATAGTAAAGACAGATTACTTCACTTTTACATCAAAACAAAACAAGCTACTCTGAGACCCTGCCCCATCCAATTGTTTCCCAAAAGTCTGCCTCAAAGGAGCCTCTTGAATCTTCTCTGCATTCTGGTAAAAACAGAATCCAATCCATTACCTTGAGCCAATCCACACACAATTCTACATCCTCCTACATGCTTTTCCTTCAAAAATCCTTTAATTCTTCTCTTTCCATATTTCCCAGCAGACTGCAAAAGGAAGACAGCTCCCAAAAAGAAAAAGCATTTTTGCTTCCTTGTAACTTTGTAAGTTAGGCCAGTATGCAAAGATTTCACTTGGTGAACTCGGTGACCAATGTCTTTGTCAAAGAGACAGAAGAAAAAGCCCCAAACAAAGAGAGAAAACGTGCAGCCATAGAAAAGGTGAAGCGCATCATCTTCTTTCAACTCATAGAGAGCAAACCTACTCACTAGATGAATACCTCTCCCCTTGATATGATTTTGTGTCAGGATACTGTCTAAAGACACCAGCCAAGCAAAAGCCTCTACTCTTGGAGGGACTGGGTTTCCTCAAACACCTTTAATCTCTGACCTTTCGGTCCAATTTCTCAGAAGAATTTTGTAGAAAGATTTCACTGTAAATCTTCCATTTCTGCACTCTTTCCACCATCTCTCATAGGGCATTTCAACATTGATCTTTGCTTCTTGTAATCTGGACAGCAACTGTATGCATTCTTCCACCTGCTATCCAGCAAAGGTCTCCTGAGCTTTGGAGCCCAAGCCACCAGGCCCTGCCTAACTTCATAACATTGTGCTATAACAATTTTCTTTTCACTTAGATTATAAAGTCTTGGACATATCTCACTGAGTTTCCCAACTCCCAACCAATCATCCTCCCAAAACCTAATGGTGTTATCCAAACCTCTAGTACCACTGAAAAATAAACTTCACAGTTAGGAGGCTGCTCAGAGAAATTCTAACACTTGAACTTGTATGGTTCAATAGTGGTGTAAAGTTTCAAAAGGTTTCTCTCATGCATGCATCTGACCTTGGTTGGTGCAAGGTAATTGATCAAAAAGACAGGATTGTACTATAATGTGCGATGTTTAGTTTTGGTATCGAGGAGAAGAGGAAGCATAAGATCTTGGCAACAGATCTCCCACAATTGCAGCATATATTGATCTGGAAATAATCGGGTTGGTTCACTGGGCTATGATACTTGAGAGGTTTAGGGACATTTCACTTGATTTCTTTTTTATCAGTAACTGATCAGGAATCATATTAAACCAAAAAAGAAATATAAAGTAGAACAGGTAAATAAACAAAAAATTTAAAAAAAAAAATGCCAAAGCACTCTCCTGAAAAGGTCCTCAGGACTAGTCCTCCCCCCACCCCAAAGGAACATGTTGAGCCAAAACAAAAATATAATAGCCCCTTAACCTAGGGGTGTTAGAGCTCAATATCTATTATCACCTTCTCTAGTTTTTGAATCTAACAAGGGGTTTGTTGCTCTTTGAACCCATTGGAACAAGGCATTCATACAATTGGTCTAATATCTAGCTCCTTGTATGAAATACCTTAACTGCCTTAGTCCTGATCAATCGCTTTGCATCCATCTAAGTTGCTAAAGCCTGGAAAGAAGCTAAACTGAAGTTGCAATAATAAAGATATGAGTTCGTCCCAAATAAGGTTTCCATCTCCTGTTGTCCTGAATATGTCCTCAATACTTTACTTTGATGCTCTCTAAAGAATACACAAACTCCAGGTCTCCTTGTGTTGCTAGGACTACATTTCTATAAATTCAACTTAAGGAATTTAGGGAAGAAGGTGACCGTACTTGAGGAACTGGCTGTCCTCTTCTAAAGGAGTGGAAATTAACTAATGATGGCTTAAACTTCTTCATTCATTTGATAGAGTTGTCAAAAATTGAGACCCTTCCCCACCAAGTAAAGATTGAGAAGATTAGGTCAGTCCCTCATGCAGACATTATAAACAAGTTTTAATTGTCATTATTTAATTTTTACCAGAATTTGCTAATCTGCTTGGTAGAGTTGTAGTCACAATGACTGGGGAATCCTTACAAATGAGTTATCGTATTTCTTGTAATGCATAAGAGCTGATCCAGTTACTTTTCAAATGTAGAATCTAGTAATTAATGGAGAAATAGAAATGAGGATGAAACCATCAAAAGACTCAATACTCCACAGTTACTTATGCCTGAAGAAAGCACCTGTATCATTATACTGTTAACAGTTTATGGAAGTTTAACTTCTTTACATGATTTGGGAAAGTATGGACAGATTGGCAAAGCACAGAGGAAGAAAATAATAATATGGGCAGTAGAAGGAATGCAACATCAGCCCTGTCAAGCATGACCGTAGAGCAAATGAAATGATAAAAACCTTTTAAGAATCATTCGTGAATTTTAGTTGCATTAGTTGTTTTGACTTTTTCTTTTTCTTTTTTACATAGAAATGGATATGACTGTTTCATGACTCAACATACTGGTGAATTGATTTCAGCATGAATGAGTTTCCATCTTCGTTGTATTTTGTAGTAATATACATGCCTAAATGGTAAAGGATCAATACACAATGTCGTTCCTGGATATCCATGGGTCTTGGGAGGAATGGACCGGATAAAGACCTGACTTTTAGCAGTTTTTGCACAAAGTGGCCACTCTCGAACTCAAACCTGTGTTTTCACGCTTGTCACTTTTCAGCCAAAAGTTTTACCACTGCACTAAATAATGGTCCCTTTTTAATCTTATAGAAACAATAAATTAACAATGCAGTAAGGTTCAAGACATTGCATTTCATGACACAAAGAGTTCAAGTAGCATAAGGCTAATTCAACTTCATATATAAAATCCCTGTAATAGGGAAATGTGAACTTGCATGTGCAGATTATTCCAAGATGAATGTTGTGGTCCACATAGTATCCAGGTCAATTCATAGTTGTCAAGGTTCCGCCTAGGTGACTAAGCGCCTCGCCCAAATGCCTTGACTCATAACAACTAAGTGTCCTTCTGGACGATTAAGCACCTGCCTAGGCGACAAAAATGACAAGGCAGACACCTTATATAATATCATTTATATTGTTGTATCTTACTAATATGTGTTTTAATACATTTTATCATATGCTATAAATCATTTATACTTTGTTTGAATGTTTTACTATTGAAATTTAAAAGATCAAAGGGTTTTGAGGAGAGAGAAAAAAAAACAAAGAGGAAGGAAAGAATAGAAGGATAAAGGGTTCTTTTTTTCTATTCTCTCTCTAATTAAATAAAACAGAAATTCCATCCTTGTTTTTTCTCTATTTTTTCCATCTTCAATATTTTTCATATAAAGTTAATAACCTTATTTAATTGCTAATTGATATGAAACTGCTCTATTAAATACTTATTATAGTATTATTATTTTTGAAAATAATGAAATTAATATATGTCAGATTTTTATCTTTTAAATGTGATGATTTGTCACATTTTTAGAGGAAATTTAATGTTCTTAATAAAGAGAATTATTATTTTTCAATTAATATACATGCTGAATGGAACATAAAACTAGGGAACTATCCAAAAGTTAGTTCTTTACATTATAAAATTCTTAATGGATAGAAATTTTCAAGAAAAGGAATGTTAGATTTGGACTCTTTGGGAAGAAAGGAATGTTAGAATTTTTCAAGAAAAGGAAAGGAGCAGTCAGGCAATGAAAGACTGCGTGTTAAATAGGGCAATACCTTGGCTGAAGACCTTGGAAATCTTTCATCAATTCTCCTTTAATGACCTTTGGAGAAATTGGTCAGTAGTAGTGAGGTGTTCATCCCTAAAGGACAAATCAATTACAAGCTGGTCTCCTCCATCCGAAGGCTCACTAAAGTTGAATTTTGAAGGAAGTAGCATGGGTAATCCAGGATTATCCGGAATGGGGGGTGCTTTGAGAAATGAGAAGGGAGAGATTCTGTTGCTCTACTCAGGTCCCTTGGGAATTGGGGACTCCATCAGGGCAGAACTTTTAGCTGTTGTACAAGGGTGCAATTTGCAAACCAGCTGGGTGTACAACACCTAACAATCGAGGAGGATTCCAAAGTGGTGGTGGGTTGGTTGAAAAACCCTGAAGAGGCTATGTGGCGTTACAAGAATGAAATGAAGAAATTTAATTGGTTGACAAGGAATATGTTGGTCACTGTACAGTGGGTGGGGAGATCAGCAAATACTTTGTCAGATGTGTTAGCTAAGCAAGGGGTAAATAGGGAAGAATTGTTTTGGGATCAGTTGTGATTCTTGCTTTTCTTTCCTAATTTACTTGTAAGATTCAAGGTGGGGCTGCAGCTCACACCTCTCCTTGGGATGTTGTATGAACTCACTCTAAATCTGCTTCTGAATTAATAAATTTATTATCATTCATCAAAAAATATTTCTTAACAGCTAGGTGCCTGCCTAGGTGACTAGGCAACTAAGCACCCCATTATAAAATTCTTAACGGCTAGGTGCCTGCCTAGGCGACTAGGCAACTAAGCACCCCAGTGTCACCCAGAATAGCCTAGACGCCTTGAAAACCATGGGTCAATTCCATTTCTCTACTGACCAAATGACATAACAAGTGGAAATTAACTAGAAACCTAAATGAATATACAGAGAGAAAAAAACATATATACCTTAAAGTTTAAACAAAAAAGGATCCAGCTTCCAGAAAACAACTTATCTAGACACCCTGAAAGTGTTTCTGTACATCCAGCCATGACCAGAGACTATTAAAGAGTCCAAGGCAGACTAGTTGGAAGAACGATTCATCAAAACTTATATAGTTACCCAATAATTCAGATAACGTGGTATCGATGCATTTATGCACGACCTTAGCACAAAACCTTCAGATGTCCAAGTAAAGATTGATAACATCAAAGCAAGAATTGCAAAGAAAGTACGATAAATAACTAACCAAAACGCACATATGGTAAAGAAGGGAACTCACATATTGGTAGAGTGGATAGTAATCAACGTACAAAACTATACTCTTAATATCCAACGTTAGAGCGGCATTGAGTCCTTCATTCAAAGCTTTTACATCTGCGACCATAACATTCAGACCCTCACCAGTTAAAGGCTTTTGTACCCGAAGAATTAAATTGTCACGAGGATCGCAAATAGCCACTCCAATCCCCGAGAGCTTAACCTTGGAACCCCCAATCGTCTCCTCACTAACCAAACCCTTGAAATATAGAATGAAAGGCTCGTCGACCACCGAAGAAGAGCAGCACTCTCCAAATGGCTTCTCGATATTGTTTCCGTATTTTTCCCAATCATCTTCAGGAATCATAAGAATCTCTCGAGCAAACTTCTGGTCGTGAACCCGGCGCTTGAGGTCTTCTGAGAGTCTGCGCATTTCAGCCTCGCACTGCTCGCGATCCTTTCGTTCTTGCTCGAATCTTTGGAGCTCCAAGTCGTGAAGGTTCCTCAAACGATAGCCATCGTCGTCGTTGAGGGAGAAATCAGATTCCATTAGGGGAGGTGATGCAGGAATTGAAGACGATGAGGGTTGTGATGCGAGAGATGCAGCCAAATCAGATTCCATTAGGGGAGGTGATGCAGGAATTGAAGACGATGAGGGTTGTGATGCGAGAGATGCAGCCATGGCCTCCTGCATCTGCAACCGAAAGGCAAAATCGAAATCCGCGTCAAAATTTTTAGACGCCATTAATTCCTTCCGCTGCTCTGTTACTAGAAACTCCAATTCATGTTCGTCCATTGGTTCCTGCTTGTGTCGTCTCGTCGCAAGTCTTTTCTCTTCTCTCTTTCTCGCACTCGCGCTCTTTTTTGTGAACCGACTTCATACGACGTGCTTTTAAAGATGGGTAAATTATAATTTATAGATAAGTACCTTGTAAGTTGGAGTAGTAACACTTCCTAAACTTTCGAATGCAACACTTAACCCCGAACTTTCAGAAATAATCACTTAGTCGGTTAAACATTTTATAATACCAAAATTACCCTTATCGTGTGTTTTTGGACCGTTTTTCCCTTCTAATGTATAAATCCTAATTTATAAACCCTTTCTCCCTTTTCTTCATTGTTAGGCCTCAACTACATCAAAAGTGGATGAATCACTAAACCATACAAGGGGTTTCATTCTCAGGTATTGTTTTCTTAATTTTGAAACTGTATCAATATAAAGATAAAATAAATTCACAATACTTCAACCATAACTGCATCAATCTATTTTAGTTTGACACAAAATAACTTGACCCAACAAAAATGGCTCAATTTGGGTTTGATTCGTTTCACTGTGTCGAATTCTTTGATGAATATGTATTGCAAATCTAGACAATTTGATCAAGCTTTTGAAATATTCAAGAACTTAAGTAGCCCGGATATTGTTTATTGGAACACAATTCTTTCAAGTTTCGATGAAAGTTAGGATGTGCTAAGATTCATTGTTCAAATGCATCAAATTGGGCAGTGATATTGCTCGATCCGATGTAGTGCAAGAACCGAGGTTGCAGTCAAATAATCTTTGCCAATTAGGTAGAGCTGATGTGGAAGAATGAAGTCACACTCCAAGATCTGAAACCAAGAAAAAGTCAGAGGCCTGAGGAGTTATCCTCGGGTAGATACTCCGACACTCAAGTTAGTAGAAAACAATGGGGTGGTCAGGCCGAGCAATTAGAGAATGGTGCTGGTTCGAACAAAGTAATAGTATGGGAGTCAAAAGTTGGATCATTTACCTTTAAAGGGTGATACATTTTTATAGCTGAAGATCCGTATTCTGATCGGATGAGGCTCCCGGGGTTGTCGGGATGAGGTTAACCACCAAGGTCTTCGGGATAAGACCTGATCCCTAGCAGAGTTGTCCCCATCCATACGATGATCTCCTGTCTTAGACACGCTTATCCACATGATGCGGTGTTGATGTGGCCAAGGAGATAAGGTAGGGCCGCAGAGGCGATGTGGTGCTAATGTGGCTAAGGAGATAGGATGGCCACGTAGGTGACATGTGGCGTCAGCCCAGCGCCTCCGCGTAGGTGACATGGATCATCAGTTGCCTATCATCAACCCAGTGCGGATCAACATCGAGAAGGACGTGTATCGCCTCACATCGATCTCCTCTGTCATGCCTATCGTCGCCTTCTCCTCCTCAGTGAACCAGGCCCACTCAGGCTGCGACACCTTTGTCCTCGGCATTTGGAGCACAACTGGAAGAGGTGAACCTCCAACGCAACGCACAAAGAATAATTCATCATTCCAATGCTTCACCAAGGACGGGCCCCAACCAGCACCTTGATGCGTTGCCTATCCGATAAGTAGTAGTACCTCTGCTAGTGATGTTTTAGTTGGAGAAAATAGGTGACCATCCCTAGGGTGAGCTCAACATCGTGGATAAAGCAATAGGACATGAAGCCAATCAGGAATTTAAATGAGTTCAGCATTAGCTGTACCAACAGCACCCGGTACCACTCAAGTACCCCGATGACCCCCTCGTGTAGCGGGAACCTCAACCCAGACTCCAGACTCTTTTCATACACACATATATCGTTCGGCTGAGCATCTGTGGGCCTCTCACTGGCCCTCATACACCTAAGCTCGAAGTCCTTGGGAATGTAATACAGAGCCTGGATCCAAGCCATATCCCCGGGAGTAAGACGGCATGGAGTGGTCCCAAATCGGCGGTCAGCCCGCACAGGAAGTTTGACCTCAACAACTGACGGTCCCACCTCATCCCCCTCGGCCTCAACCGCCTTCTCAAAATCTACCCCCTCGAAGTCTTCGGCCTCAGCCTCAGGAACATCAAGCTCGGCAGCCCTGGTGAAGGACCCTTGCTCGAACTCAAAATGTGAAGCAGTGTAATCGGAAGAGGAAGCAGAGGAAGAGGGAGGAGAACGGGAAGACGATGAAGCAACCTTACCAGGTTAAGGTTGCAGAACTAAAGCAAACACCGAGTATTGAAGACTACTCCCCGTCGAACTTTACAAGCGATCTCTTTCGCAGATGACAAAGGGGAAATGCTCTTCTCCCCTATTTATAGGTCCCCAACACTCCAGATCAAAACAGGATCAACGGCATGGATCAGACGCCGCTCTGACAAGCTTGGGAGGGCCAATTGGCGCAACCGCTCTCCACACATGTAAAGTCTTGGGAAGCGAAACAATGCCTCGGGGACAGGACCAGCATTGAACTGCCCAATTCACCTAGAGAGATCGGCCCAACTTCAAGCCACTTGGTCCACCCTACACGCTCAACCAGACATCAACTTCAAGTTCCTCAGCCGAGGACCGAAGAACTCTTCCACACCACACTACGGCCGAGCACTTCACAACACGACTTCGAAATTGGGGGAGTGGTGTTTAGGTTATGGTTGAGCTGGCCCCACATGCCACGCGCCACCTACGCGACCATCCTATCTCCTCAGCCACGTCAGCACCACATCACCTATGCGACCTTACCTTATCTCCTCGGCCACATCAGCACCGGATGCCACATGTCACCTACATGGCCATCCTATCTCCTCGGCCTTCTCGCTACATGAGGGGGTCGTCAAGGTACTTGAGTGGTACCGGGTGCTACCAGTATAGTTGATGCCGAACTCATTTAAATTCTTGATCGTCCTCATGCCCTATTGCTTTATCCACGATGTTGACCTCACCCTGAGGATAATCACCTATTTTCTCCAATGGAAGCATCACCAGCACGGGTGCTACTACTTCTCGACTAGGCAGCACATCAAGGTGCTGGTCGGGGCCCCATCCTCGGTGAAGTTGGAAGGAGGGATTCTTCTTTGTGTGTTGCGCTGGAGATTCACCTCTGCCAACCGTGCTCTAGATGTTGAGGACAAAGGTTCCACAACCCGAGTGGGCCCGACTCATTGAGGAGGAGAAAGCGGCGGTAGGCATGATAGAGGAGATTGATGTGAGGTGATACATGTCTTTCTCGATGTTGGTTCGTGTTGGGCTGATGAGAGACAACTGAAGATCCGTGTCACCTGCGCAGAGGCGCTGGGCTGATGCCATGTGTCATCTATGCGGCCATGTTAGCACCGCGTCATGTGGATAAGTATGACTAAGACAGGAGATCATCATATGGATGGGGACAACTATGCTGGGGATCAAGTCTTATCCCGAAGACCTCAACGATTAACCTCATCCCAACAACCTCGGAGCCTCGTCCGATTAGAACACGACAACTATAAAAAAGTATCTCTGGCTCAAGGTAAATGATCCAACTTTTGACTCCCATACTGTTACTATGCTTGGACCAGCACCGTTCTCTAACTGCTCAGCCTGACCACCTCACTGTTTTCTACTGACTTGAACATCAGAATATCTACCCGGGGATAATTCATCGGGCTTCTGAATTTTTTTTGATTTCAGATCTTAGAATGCAACTTCATCCTTCCACCTCGGCTCTACCCAATTGGCAAGAATTATCTAATTGCATCCTCGGTTTCCTGCAATACCTCAGATCAAGCAACATTACGTAGTCCTTTGATGTTGTAACTTATAATACTGTTCTTAACTTTTGGTCAAATATTCAGGACTGTCTATTGAGTTTTGAATTTCTTTCCCTTGTAATTAAATCTGGGTTTGACTTTGAAACATTTGTTGGGAATGCACTTATAACAATGTACTAAGGGTGGGGCTATCTAGAAGAAGCCAAGAGAGAGATTGATGAAATGCCCAAAAGGGATTTGGTTTCTTGGAATGCTCTACTTTCAGGCCATGTCCAAAAAGGAAATTATGGGGTAAAAAGGTTTATACCTTTGTTGAGTTGGTGGAGCTTGATCATGTTTTTTCAGCTTGTGGCCATGAAAAAAGCTTGGAATTTGGGAGACAAATACATGGTCTAGTTTTGAGATCTTGTGGTATGGGACCTATGTTTCAGTTTGTAATGTTCTGATCTCAATGTATTCAAAGTGTGAGGTGGTTGAGGATGCTAATATGGTGTTTGAGAGCGTAACCGAAGGCAGTGTAATTTCATGGACGAACATGATTTCAATAAATGAAAAAGATGTTATTTCTCTCTTCATCGATATGAGAAAAGATGGAGTTTATCCAAATGAAGCAACATTTGGTGGATTAATCCATACTATATCAGTTGAGAATTTGGTAAAAGAAGGGCATACAATTCATGGATTTTGTATAAAAATTGGTTTTCTGTCTGAATTGAATGTTACCCAACAGTTTCATTGCCATGTATTTTAAATTTGAATCCATGAAGGAGTCAAAGAAGATATTTGATGAGATTAGTTACAAAGAGACCGTATCATGGGATGCTTTAATTTATAGGTATGCACAAAATGGGATGGGTCAAGAAGCTTTACAAACGTTCTCCTTAGCCATACTAAAATCCTCTCCAAATGAATTCACTTTTGGCAGTGTTTTGAGTGCAATTGGATCTACTGAATCTGTATCACTGAGACAAGGACAACGGTGCCATTCCTACGTAATCAAACTTGGGTTAAATACCAACCCAGTTGTATCGGGTGCGCTCCTGGGACATGTATGCAAAGTGCGGGAGCATTGAAGAGTCACAGAAAATATCCAGTGAATCACCTCAAACAAGCCAATGATTCCTTCTCAGATGGCAACAATGATATAGTTTTTTCCAGGCGGCGACAACCATCTCTTTTACCCGCGGCAGCAATAGTTTCTCCCCACGATGAGCAACAGTGGTGCCCAAACCAAATAGAACCCAACTTTTAATCAGGGTTATTTCGGTCTTTTTAAAATTTATTATTTAAATTATTTAAAAAATATAGTCATTTCAGTAACTTTATAACACGAATTAACGGAATGGACCTAAGTGTCTATTTCTAAAAGTTCGCGATACCTAAATATTGCATTCGAAAGTTCGGGTTACTAAGTGTTACAAGATGGGTGTGATTTTGCCAGGTTCTGTTTTGATAGACGCAACATGTCCCAACGAAAACAAAAAAACTACGAAGTGCTGATGTACTAAGGCTTAGTTTGGAAGGAGTATAGATGCAAATACGTAGAGAGCGGGAAATCTTACATTATATATTGAAATGTATATATTTAGATTATATATATTTGTATTTGTATTCTTTTTTCAAATTTCGCCTAATAAATATAAATATATACAAAATAATATAAAATACAAAGTTTTGCACTTTATAAATTTACATTTATACTGCTTCCAAATTGAACCTAAGGGTATTTTATGACTTGAAGAATAAAATTGGGCAGCAATTAAAAAATAAAAAGTTGAGGAGTGCCCAAATCACATCTCCCCAATCCTTATATACGTACCAGACGTCTAGAAAATGAACTAAATTTTCCTTTAAAACATTGTATTTGGTTCATCTGCAAATTTATTTGCAATGATGCAAACTATGGTAATGTAAATGATTTATTTTTGTTGTAAATATATATTTTGGTTTTGCATAAAAGCTAAAAAGAAATAAATTGAAGTATAAATAGATATTTTAGTTTAAAATATATATAAAACCGACTAAATTGATAAACCGATCCTTTATGTTTAAGTTGGTTTTGCTTCAATGTTGGTCAGTTTTGGTTTAGTCAATAAGTAAATCGACTAGGTTGGATCGGTTGAAGAAAATGACTCAACCCAACCCAACCCGTGAACACCCATAGATCAAAGTATCTATATCGAGTATCGTACCAGATAACTCAGATACGGATATGAATATGCTTTGGAAACACATGGATACGAACGAAAAATATAGAAATGCTTGGATATGATAGTGAAATGCATACAAATCACATAAATACATTAATCATATTAAACCAAAAGCTGAATTATCAATGAATAAGATATAAGCACATGAGAAATGCATACTTCATAAGAGAAATATTACAATAAACAATACCGGGACTCTAGAGCATTCAAACATTGTACAATAATTATCACTCTTTCAATTTTATAATTATAATTTTTAGTTTTTATTAATTTTTTGGAATATTTATTAATTTAGTATTTTATTTAAATAATAACTATTTTTTAATAATAAATATGTTTTCATTTTTAACATATAATGTTTTTATTTTACACATAATTGTAAAATAAAACAAATAAATCATTTAAGGTAGATAAAATAAATTATATTTAATTCTCTGTTTTTTTTGGGAAAATCAAATCTTAAATTATTCATTTCAGTTTTTTATAATTATAATTTTATGTTTTCCATTCATTTTGTTGGAAAATTTATTTATTTAGTATTTTTATATAATAACTCTATTTTTTCAAATAATAACTATGTTTTCATTTTTAACACATAATTATGTGTAAAATAATACTATTTTCTAACTTGTATTAAAAATGAAAAACAATCCAAGTGCAATTTTGTCAAACTAGACACTAATACACCTCCATATTGGTGTGTATCAAAGATACGATGCAATACATCCTGATATGGAGGCGTATCGTACCGATATGCCTGACTCGTAGGATATGTATCCAATCATAGTGTATCCTGTATCCATGATCATGGATACGGATATGATATGCCCTTGTATTGGTACCTTAATTATTGCCTATAATTTAGTTATTTATTTGGGGTTTTTACTATTTACTCCACCCCAAAAATCTTGGCTCTACTATACAGTTAGGATAGGTGCAAGATCGGAATTGATGCCATTTCATGGGTGGGTATAGGTGTTATACATGAAGGTATTTATAATTTTGAATTGTTGTAGGTCTGCAGATGAATTCAAAATTATGAGGTGGAATGCAGTCAACTTATCCCTATTTATTTTTGCAGAAATTTATATTCCTTAGAACTTGAACACCAATGAATGAACTTTCTTTCCTACCTTGAAATAACAATAATATATTTCTGACATTCAGATCCAAACATAAAAGGAATACCTTATACTATCATACAAAACATGCATACCCATGCACTCAAGTTTGACTAAGCCTAGGGGAAGGGTTGAGAGTTTATGACAATAAAATATATAGAGGCTGAAAAGCCATTCCGTGTTTAGATATACTAGCGAAGTAACACGGGAGTGACACTACCTGCTGAAAGAGGCAATAAAAGTCCTTGGGCCCAGCTCCAACATAAAACCGTTCCTACCTAGCTATCTCAGTTGGAATGTTATTGGAGAACAACTTTTGAATGACAGAAAAGTTGTCAATGGATCATGGAAAAGAACCCCTAAGCTGGTTGTTTGAAATCCTTATCTATCCAAGATTCTCAACGAATGAATCGGTCTATGGACCCATGGTACCAGCTAAGGCTTTTGGAGCTTCATAATTTGATCTCGAGTTACTGTTTCAATTAGCAATATTTGTACTAGTAAAACCTTGTTTCTTAATCGGGTGTTGAGTTTGAGAAGGCTTCGTTAGAGAATAATCGGAGGTTGACTGACCCAAAAATCTAGGAGGCAATGGTGGATGTGCTGGTGCTTGAGTTGAGAGTAATTCCTACTCCTTGTGTGGTAGGAGCTTCTTGTGTTAATATTAGAAGCGGTGGTAGTTTTGTTGGTGTTGCTGATGACGCTGGTAGCAGTAGCGTTCAATAACCTTCTTCCATGACCAATAGGACGACGGAGTTCTAACTGCATCTCTAACATCAAAGAATTCCACGAATCGTTTGGATGGCGCCTCTCTCAATTCCTTCCCATCCCTAAATTATTACAAAAGCATTCAATAAGAAATTTTTGGATTAAAAATAAATAAATAAGCCACCCTATCACCATCAACCTACAAAAAAGATTAACTCTTGCTTTGTTTTTCCACTGAAAAAATATATGTTAAAACATTAAGAGAAAGAGAACATTAAATCAATCAAAACCCATAAAATTATATCATCAGTAGACCAATTTGAGGTAAATAATAAGGGTAGGTATTTGGTTATTCATTGGTAATTCATACCAAAAGCTTAAAAAATTTTTTAAAGCTTATTTGCTAAAACTTCTGGATCCAAGTTGAAGACCAACAAGGTCCCTTGATTTTGCCCATCTGGACCAGCGGTTGGCATCGACACAAACAGCTTGGCCAACAATGAGCCCACGCGCATGTGGAGGCATTGGAGGCGTTTAATTCTCCACATCAATCCATAAATTCTGGTTCAACAACGAGTTGTAGTATTGTCGTCCGTTGGCATAGAGCTCAGAAGCAACACTCTCTTAACTGTGGTTGAAGGCGGCTGAAGTGGATTTACACTAATGGGTCTACTGTACGCCAATGTATCATAGAGGGCAACACGTATTGATACTCCTTAACCTAACTGTCACTTTTTTGATTAAGTGGTAGAACTTTGAATGGGCAACACGTACTAATAGATGAAAGAGTAGGCAACACGCAATTAGATTGTTTAAGGGAGAAGTGACAGATGAAATGGACCTTCATTTGAGTAAAATTGGCACGGTTTAATCAAATTTACGCGTTGATACCATTTCCTACACATAAAAATGACCACGTTGCCCAGACCCCAGTCCTTCTCGTTTTAGTATATATAATAGATATAGAGGCTTTAAAAAAGGGTCATTTATTAAAACATCCATATAGTTTCATGAATTTACTAAAACCTATCATATAGTTTGTGTTTTGTTAAAACATCCTATTTAATTTGCAATCTATTTACTTAATTGACCTTCTATTTGATGAAATTATAAAATGACAGTTTGAACCCTAGCATTCATTCAAATAAATTTAATCAAAATAAATTAAAACAAGAAAACCATTTTTGCCCCTAGTAAAGCACGGACAGCCACTCTATTTTTTCTATTTGTCCAATTTTGTTTCCTATACAAAAAGTGTTAGGGGTACTTTTGGAATAAACAACCATGGATCCATACCCTTGAACATTTTTCACTCAGTTTAGGGGTATTTTTGGAATAAACAACCATGGGTCCATGCTCTTAAACATTTTCCACTTAATTTAAGTGATAATTTTACTATTTTCAGATGGCAAAACGTTTTTAATGAAAGGTCGATTAAGTAAATAGGTTATAAGGAGTGTTTTAATAAAATGTAAACTATAGGATAGGTAAATCTATGAAAATATTGGGGGTGTTCTAATAAAAACCCTAAAAGAAAATATATAGATATAGATGGATGGCCAATGTGTCTCTGTATTAAAAGTAAGATACTAACCTTTCCTATTTTCTTTAGAGAGGATTTTTATCCGAACCAGTCAAGCAAAAATAGAACTTAAGTCTAGGGACAAAGTGGACCTTTTGTACATTCTGTCCATCTTAACTCTTAAAGGGCACTACACTAGAGAATCTTGAATTTATGAAAGTTTAGGATAGTTTAAGTAAGGTTTTAAAGTTGAAGGACGCTTTACGTAATTATCAGATAAGTCATGGATACTTTAGGTAATTATCCCAAAACTTTGCGCACAAACATACATGAATTAGGAGATGTTACCAAAGTGGAGTTCGGATCACTGCCAACAAAATACATTAACATGATGTGACGCTGCACATCTCATATAATATGATGGGTCTTCAGAGTGACAGAACGTATTTTAGGTGATCCCAACTCACCAATGTGCGGCCTGATGCTACTACACTTGCATATATAATGTGTACAGGGTTTTTGATTGTAGCCTTATATCCCGTCGCGTTTAAGTTTGCTCTGTATCAACAAAATAATCCATGTGGGTAGGAGATCTAAATTGCAAGATACAACAGTGAAAAAAGAAAGCCTAGAGGGCTGATATTTATCCCGCCACACGGACCAGGCGACGAATTTCCATTTGACGGGGTAGTTCAAGTCTTCAAGCTGAACTCAAGCAGAAACCCTGTTACAGGTTCGCTCATCTTTCATTTATTCTGTCTTGTTGAAATTAGATTCACAAAATTCGGTGTAAGAAACACGGTTACGACAAAAAAAACAATTTGTGGCTTAATGGGGCTTACCTCTAACTTGCATAGGCTAGTTATTTTTTTTCCCCTGATTTTCTTCTTCTTTTAATGAATTCTGACCAGGGTTATCTGACCTTAGTTTCTTTGGAAGTGTTTCTTATTCTTGTTATTTTTCCCCTGCATTGAGTTATTGCTGGTAATAAATGGTCCAGACAGGAAATATGCATATTGAACCTTTTAGTGCTTCAAGCATTCCTCATTGTTTGAATTAATTGTTCTATTTTTCTGCAGGTTGCAGTCACACTGGTCCTACTGTGATTTGTCATTTGTGAATATTAAATATCAGAGCTTTACTTTCCATGAAAGCGCTGAATTACCATTTGATTCATTTTCTTGTTATACCTACAAATTCTAGTTGGCATTACCCTTTTTTTAAAGAACAAGGGAAGATATTTTGTTTCTTCCTCTATTTTTTCACTTGGATGCTAACTCTATTTCTATTATGCGCTCGTTATAACATGTAGCATCAATGAATTATATGGACAACTCAGGAATCTCTTGAAATGAATGAATGGTTATTGTTAATTAAAAAAAGCATGGATGGTTATCCATTTGTAAAGAGAAATATCAATTAACATTGTACATAAATTCCTGATATGACGTGTATCTGTTTTACCTCTTGCAAGAGAAAGGAGTGCAGTTCAGCCTAGCAACATGGTCTGTGCAAAACAAATTGGATTGGATTTCAGGTTTTTCTATATCAACTCCCTCATAGGAAACATTCAAATCTAGCAGTTTTTATGCAACAATGCTATAGTCAACTCTTTATTCTATCTAGAAATCCCCTAGATAAAAGATATAATGCAGGGCCAACATTTGACAAAAGACAAGAAAGACAATTCTGTTATAGGTATGACATGTCATTCCTGAGCCCCGGAATAGCAACTGGATGAAGTTTGTATGGGGTATGATTGCATTGGATCCGTTTTTGGCTCCCCTTAGCTGTCAATATTTGCAAAATCCCCTCTGGAAATTTGAAAGAATAATCCAGGAAACTTGTTTTGATTTGATTGTATCTTAGTTGTTCCAATATCTGCTATAAGATGCCCTTAGAATCATAATTAGTTATTGATTTCGCTTAAATCTTTATTAAGTTTTCTTTTGCTTCTGTTAATTTCTATTTTAAAAGTTTACTTTAGTTAGGAATATGTCTACTTGTTGTACCAAGAGCATGAATCTTAGATATTTCCTTAGTTAGTTTTAAGAGTTCATAAGTGGAGGTTCACATAGACTTCATAAATACAGCTTGTACTCTGAATACTTGGAAGAATGCAATATCATGAGAAGCTTTTACTTTGTTATTTGGTGCAGATTCCAAATATTCTTGCGGGTGCCGACTCCTTAAATCTTTTTTCGTACCTACCCTTTGAGAAGCCTAGATGCTGACATTTTAGGTCAATCTATCCTATTTTTTGTTTTTTTTCATTTATCATCATTAACAAATATATTTTGATTGTTAGTGCTGATAAAAAAATCAATATCATGAGTTTTATCATACATCATGATTCCAATCCAATTTACTCGTATGTCTCCATGCTATTGTCTGGGCATTTTGATTTGGATTTTGAGTAAGATATTCAGCTCAATTCATAGTTGAACTGTTGAAGTGGCAAATGTTACACAAGAAGTGGTTTAACATGAAAGAACCAAACATTAGAAGTAGAATGAGAGCAATGATATATAGCTTATAGGAGAAAACAAGGATGTAGAGCCCCTGTTTTGTTATTTCAAGAAGGAGAATAAGAGATATGGAGAGAATACGGATGTTTGTTGTATGTTAGCTACAAGGAAAAGAAAAAAAAAAATGAAGGACAGAGCTCATATTATACCACAGAGAGGGATGATACTCTATTTTGCTCATAGAGATCGAAGAATACTATGAAGGTTACTAGTTGAAGTCCTATCATGGTGAACACATTTTTTAAACCAGTAACAAAGATCATAATTCCATTAATTAAAAACAAACAAGTACAATAAGAGGTTGTGAATTTACAATTCAAAGAGATATACATTTTACATTTGAGCCCAAACTAACTTTTGCCTACTAGCCCCTTGTTTAGTTCATAAATCAGCCATACTATTAGCCAATCGTTGTACCCATTTGATTTATAGCTGCATTATCTTTTGAAAGCCATCTAGAGCGTTTTATTTCTTCTGTAGCTCCAAACAGATCTACTACCCTTTATTAACCAACTTATAACCACATTGGAGTCATCTTCAATAATCAATCTTTCAGCTCCCATTTGAGTTTTTGCACTCCACATACTGCTGCCATAAGTTTTGTCTTGACTGAATCTCCACCTATTGGACATATAATCTCATTCTCATCTCTTATTAATCCTCCTATTCCAGAATTGCCCAAACTACTTCCATCAAAATTCAGCTTCAATCACACCTAACTGGTGGTGTTCAGCCCCTTTGTATTTTTGATTTTTAGATGATAGGCCTGCAACTGCCCCCCTACCCACCCACTTTCTGAAGAAGTCATCCATTGTGAAGTATGAGAATGGGTCCATTGTCTTCACCCAATGTGCTACCCTCACTGTAGTTCTTTCAATTATTGCCTCACTGCTTCTTTATCCCTCAAATATTCTTGTATTCCTTTCCTCCCTCAAGGTCTAAATCACATCATAGTGAACACATTTTTTATGATTCCCTTATTGATTTAACTTCATGTCAAAGCACAATGCGAAGCCACCCCCCCCCCAAAAAAAAAAAAATAAATAAATAAGTGAATTTATTGCCTGTGCATTGCCTTGACAACTGCGAACAAACTTTATATTAACTATTTGAGCTCACAAGCATTAAATCCTAAATCAATCTTTCCACTCTATCCAAGATCATGCCTTATTTCAAACCATAATGCTGCTCAAATAATTTCTCTCTCCTTTCAAAAAACCTTGTCTTCTTTGGCCACCACCTTGCCCGTCTTCAACCTCAAGCTAGAGCACATCTTAGTTGAAAAACAGTTCACTTGATGTATGGAACTGTTTGAGATTAGATGCAAACTAGAAAATAACCAAACAAGCGAGGAAGAGAAGAGAGAGCTGGCGGCAATGAATGTTAGAGAGTAAGAGGTTCGAACATAACCTCCCTCTAACACTCTAAACATCTTATTAAGAAGTTAATCTTTGACAA